AGTTAGAACCGAGCATTATACATAACGTATGTTTAGCAAGAGCATTTTACATTTATTTTACAATTAGTCGTAATATAACCAGTGTTTGTTTCACAATATACAGCTATACTTAAATCGTTTTTTTACTAACAATTTAATAAAATACATTCATTATTTTAATATTAAATTGGTGCGTACGTTTATTTGGTGTTGTGCGTAAAAACCATAACACTGGGGTTTAAAAAAACAAATATTAATTGAAAATTTCATTTGCCTATAAATAGTTCAATACAAATCAAAATATTCTGAACATTTTATAGTGTGTAGAAAATGCTTACACAAATATTCAGTGAAAATGTCATGTACCTACGGTCATTTTTGTTAGAGTTACAACCATTTTTCAAAAAAATCGATTTTGGTTTTTAGTGTAACTTAAACAAAAATGACGGTATAGATAAATGGAATTTTCACTGAATATTTGTGTAAGCATTTTCTATACACCATAACATTTTCAAAATATAAATAACTAGAATTTTTGTGAGTGATTTTGGAATCATAAAATTATGAAGTATTTAATTTATATTAGATTCGGCCATTCTGAGCTTAGCGATGCAAATTTATTGGTTTTACAATAAAGTGTGTATTTTTTCTCTCTCCTTCGTTAACTTTTGGGGTGGTAAAAATGTTCCAATTTTCGATTTTTGAATTTTTTTCTGATGGAAAAAAGAATCTAAAAGGTAGCCTAAAATGGTTAAAGATTAAAAGATTTGAAAAAAAAAATGAAAGGATAAAGGTAATTTGATGAAATTGATTATATATATTTGGTGTAAGTCATAAATGAATTACTGTTGACTTTTTTAATTTTCACCGAATACTATTATAGCCATTTTCATACATGAACATTTCTCATATTTTTTAACTATTTATATAAAGTCATAGGAAATTGTTGACTTTAGGAAATTGATAAATAATTTTTCCCTCTTTCATAAATCTTGAAAATTGAATGCGAGGTTTGTCATAAGTTGTGTTGATAGAAGTAAAAATATTATGGATACATAAGTAAGCATTATCATATTTTTACGCATTTAAAGTTCAAATGTTGATTAAATTCTTTAGAACCCAGAAGGTTTACAAATTATTTTTCAATTACGAATTCATAAAATATTTTCTTTACATAGCTAACATTTGGAAATGTAATGGAAGACTTCTTATAGGTTCTTGTACTTAAACAAAAAAAAAAAAAGGTTACCAAGCAATTTACCTAATCTAACCATCCACTTAGAATTTTTTTCTGTTTACAATGATCTATAATTAAATTCAAATCTAACATAACCATTTTATTGGCATACACGACAACTACTGTACAGCAAAGCGGTGTAACCAATAATAAACTTTTTTTAAACTGTTATAATAACTTCTGAATAACTTTACATTAATGTGTTGAGCCATTTTAAATTAAACAATTATATCATCAACGTAAATTAAAATCACTCAAAAGTTCAACTCCCGTTGATAAATCGTTGTGAAATTCTTGGTAATGTTTTGAAGAAGAAAAATATTAGGTCATCCTTATATTTCTTATATTGTGAATCATACCGTATAGTATAAGATATTTATTAAATTGTATGTTTATTATTTTATTTTTAGAAGAAAGAGGTACGTGAATTTTGTATTTTTTTTTTAAATGCATTTAATTTTTCAATTAAGTTTAACCTAATTTAATAAACCTTGTGTCTTATAAATGTTGTAACCATTTTTTACTCATTGAGTACTATGATAGGTATGAATCCATTTAATGTTAGGTACTTACTAATTAGGCTGCTATAATGAAAACAAACCTTTGTATAAATATATTGTATTAATTATTTTATGGTAGGTCCATTAAAAATAATATCACATTATTAACTAATTATGATAATTTGTATTTTTTATAGTTCAAACAGTGGAGTGTACGTATATATTCAATTAAAGCCGTATCGGTTCCATGTGGGGACAGTAAAAAATTGTGTGCTCAGTAGTCTTCATCGGGTGCTGACAGTAGAGGCAATCCTCATTAGGGGCGCGATTTCTCTGATGCAAATAGTGCCTGAAGCACCCAAGTCTCGTAAGAGCCTGTGTAATGTGAAATGTGAGATCTTTGGGACGTCTTCTCACCCATCTCATCAGGTCTGGAAGGATCTTACGCGTCCAGGTTGCGTTCTTACCGTCCCTCCACCTAATGGACCAGGCAGTATGCAGGATGTCACACCCCTCTTCCCCGATCTCATCCTTAGAGCCCACTCTATCATTAAGGAATTACCTGTCAACTTTAAAAAAAAAAAAAGTTTAGTTTGTTAATGAAATACAAAGACACTTTTTAAAATATTTTTTTAAAATTTAAATTGTATTTATACATGCGTACTAAGAAATTATACATACAACATAAGAAGATAAACCCTATAGGTAGTAGGTTTCGAATAAATGTGGAAATTCAAATAAAATGTTTCACCTGATAAATAATTTGTTGCATAATGAATATTAAGTCTAAAGAGTTACTGACTATAATGAGTAATGACTGTAATATTATGTAGAATGTAGATACACCAAATACAATTGATAATTGTCATAATACAGTTTATTTTTACAGTATTAGCAAAATATTACAAAACTTATTTGCAGCGAGGTAGTACGTATAATAATTATTAATTAATAAGAGTGTACGTAAATTAAAATTGATTTTAAATGTGAGTGTTGGGCTATACATAATTTTTTTTTTTTTTTTTGGTTTTTTTAAATTCTTTTGAATAACATTTTCCTTTATCGATAAAAAGCAGTATAAATAACTAGGAGATACAAAGATTATTCTTCATTTTATGATAAATGAAAATTCCAATATTTTCATTGTACAAAAAATTACCATCGATTTGTGTTGAATACAATGTTGTATGTTTCGCGATAAAACTTGCTATTCACAAACAATTTGTATACAATCGAGATCTACGAGTTTGTGGTAGCTCCGAGTTTGTGGTAGGACAATCTAATAAACGCAATCAACAAATGTATAATACTAATTTATTTTGCCATTTTAGACATGCAAACGCCGATTGACTCATACTGTGAAAGTGCAGTTTCAAATGTTTCAAGGAATGTCTTCACATATATTTTGTATACTTTTGAGGACTTAAGAATGTAAAAATATGCAATTAAAAATCATAAATATCCACAAAAAATATGCTCTAAAATAAATTTTTTTATATTTAGTCTAAATTAATTATAATGTTTAAAGTAAAACTTTTTTTTTAAAATTACATTATGATTAGTTTATCAATAAATATTTGAAAAATAAAATAATTTCGTTGTCTCCTTATCTATTTGTTTTCTTCCTTCGTTTTTTCTCCTTCATCCCTAACCTAAAAAAATATTTTGTTAAAATGTATTTTTATCTACCAATATATTATTATACTAAGTTGTATTACTGACCTTTAGTATTTTGCATTGAACGACAAGATATTTTCTTATATTTTCAACTTGAAACGAATATCTGTTATCTACTAACAATGTTTTATTGATATAAATGATAGGCTTTGCACCCGAATTAACCGAAACCCCCAAAACCTCATCTAAAAACCCTTAAAAAATCCGAAACCCATATAACTTGAATGATTCTGTTTTCTAAGAACCGAATTAACCAAAATCCAAATAAAATATTCTGGTTAACTCGAAACCCGTATAATTTGGTTTTTACAATTTTCACGTGATATATCATTTTGTATGTATTTCTTGTGGTTAGTTCGATTCTGTAGATAATTGTTTAATAATAACAATAGTATTAACAAGACCAATTTATTTTACAATTAATTATTGGTAAATGTAATAAATATTTTCTTCAAAATAAAATCCAATAAAATCATTAATAATTAATTCTGACTCAGCCAAATCGCTTAATACTAAATTATTTCTTATAATGTATACCTATTTAAAATAAACCCAAATATTGCCAAAAGCAATGTAAATTAGTATAGACGTGGTCTCAAGAGAACAACGTATTTACACTTGCAGTCGAGACCAAATAGTAATAAATATAAATGATAAATATCTATAATTTTTTAATACTTAGTATTGTTTGCTATCCAACTTCCCAAGTGGTATTATTATAATTTAATAAGGAATATCGTAATTCCTGGCTATATCAGTTTTCCAGAAGTCGCGAAATCATAATATATATTCAATATTTGTATTGTTAATTATTTCTCTACGGCACTACGCTCCTGTGACCTACCTATTTTAAATATTTTAGTCAACTTAAGTCCGTTAACTTGGTGTGAGTTTTGACTTTTATTGTTGTTATTAAATTATTTCTTCTTGCAATTTGTAAGTATATATTTGTATATTAATATTTACTATTCATAATAGTATGTAGGTTTAAGTTTTATGCAACTTTAGACTAAAGCTTATTTAAATTGTCATAAAATAACCATATATATATAAATATATTGTTGGTGTCATACTTGTGGAGTATGTCCACTACGGATATTCTGCAAGTATGACACCAGACCATGAAGATTAGAGATAAGGAGACCAAACTCCTATGGCCGCCCGTTTATAAAGTGGCCCGACAAAAGTCGCAAGGTTATTCTGCCACCAGGAGCGCGTCGTTCGATAGCAGTTCTACGTTTTACAATTATAGCATGTAGTATAATAGGGATTATGTACGTTTTTCGCCTTAAACATGATTTATTTTTCCTTACAAATACTTTATGAACTGGATCAGATCCAAAACATACATACAAGAGTGGGGGGATTTTGGTTAAAATTGGTTTCAATAATAAAAACAAAATATATATTATAATAATAAACGATCTAACACATGGGCAAGTCAGGATTAAGACATTTTGAGGCCCAGGGGCCAAAGTTGTTTCCGATGGAGATATGATAAATACTCTTATGAATATTAAAGATATAACCAACAATAATGAACGAGCCCAAAGAATTAATCAAGAACTAGATGACATTTTAGACAAAGGACATTCTGAAAGAATTGAATTTACTTCATATATACATGATCATGAATATAGTTTGACTGATACATCGAGTTTAGTTTTATCTTACTTAGCTGGATACGTTGCTCGAAAATCAACCAGATTCACAAAATGCCAAAGGTGTCTTTTAAGTTTAAAAAATGAAGTTATTTCATCTAGAGACAAACTCATTGATATGCGCTCCAAAGGTTTTTTGATTCGTCCATCGGATAGTCTTTTTGCTCTTATTTCAACCTTAGAAAAAATAACAATACAGACTTTAGTATCTGAAGAATTAAATGTAAATACAATTTTTTCTATAACTTCCAACTTACTATCGGACACAGCATCTTTACCTGAACGGACCGGGAGCATAATAAATATTACGCGTGCCCGAATGCCAATGCTTTAGAGCACCACTAACACATATGCCCGGAATACACGAGGCTAGTTTTTCAAGCTAGGATAGCAAGGTAATACTAGTAAGCTAGAAAGCTAGTAATAATAGCTTTGTGTAAACAGAACTAGCTTTGTTTTTAAGCTAGCAAGCTAGGGAATATTTTAATAAACTAGCGTGTCAAGCCAGGCTAGTTTAATAGGATTGCGTTCTATTTTTTTTGAGCTAGCACACCTCCCACCACTGAATTTACTATCCTAGATAGTGTTCTATCTCCGTGTAGACGGCAAAGCTAGTACATCATCGGCTAGAGCAGTGTTCACGCTTTATTACGCCACGTGGTTTGTTAAAATATGTGAATCGGTATTGTTGTTTTAGGTTTTTTTATACGCCAAAATGCCAAAATTAAGTGGTGATCTTAATTTAAAGTTTGTAGAATTATATCGCGAAGAAGAATGTCTATGGAATGCCAGTATTCCATCATATAAAAATAAATCTATGCGTGATACATCACTACAAAAAATATGTGCAGAATTGAATACAATTGGCATACAAATGACAGTTAATGAAGTAAAAAATAAAATTAAAAATTTAAGAGCAACATACTGTCAAATGTTGTCAAAAATTGAAAAATCAACCAGGTCCGGTGCAGGTGCTAATGAGGAGTATAAACCTAAATTGAGTTGGTTCGAGGAAATGCATAGTTTTATAAAAAATGTTCCAATGAAAAGAAAAACAATCGTAAGTTATATTTATTTTGTAAATAATTAATAAATTAATTAAAATAAATTAAACTACCTATTTAATTATTAATTCATTTATTATTATTCTTAATATTAAATATTATTTACAATATTATTAATATTCATATCATATTTCCTTGCCATGGCACCGCACCCTCGTTGTTAAAATAGTCTTTAATGGTTTCTCTTTTTTGGACTGCTGAAATCGAAGGATGGTTACTTCCTTGTCGACATAAGTTTTCTAAGCCTGTAGTTTCTGTTCTCCATGTACCATGAATAATATTTCTTGCCTCAATATCTTCACGGTCGACATCACAGTGCGTTATATAATTATTTCGTTTTTCTTTTCGTAACCAATTATGCAAAGCACATGCTGCTAATACGATTTTATCCACTGTATTCACATCAGTAGCGATAGGTTTTTGAAAAATACGAAATCGGCTTACTTATATTCCAAAAGCATTTTCAACTATTCTTCTAGCTCTGGATAGTCGATAGTTGAAAACTTTCTGAGCCACTGTTAAATTGTCACCTGGGTAAGGTTTCATCATATATGGTTTTAACGGAAATGCACCATCGGCAACAATCACTCCACCATTTGGTAAAAGATTATTCTCTAGTTTATTATAAATAGAGCAATTTCTAAATACACTTGCATCTGATGCCATGCCACATGCACCGACATCAATATATCGGAAACAATAATCGTCATCTACTATTGCCATAAGAACAATACTGAATACTTTTTTGTAATTAAAATATATATTGCCACTGTTGTCGGGAGCTACAATTTGTATATGTTTTCCGTCAATGGCGCCATAACATAGTGGAAAGTTCCATCTGTTTTTAAATCCATTTTCTATTTCCGCCCATTCTTCGTTATTTGTCGGGAGCTGTAAATATTACAATTAATGAAATCCAAAGTAAAATAATGTATATTATCGAATATATATATTAATATTAATTTTTTAAATTGTGTGTGTATGTTTATACTTCAATGAAGACAATTTTTTTAAAAAATTTTAGGACAGTCAAGAGTTAGAAACAATTGAAGAAATTTTAGATAACAGTGATGCCAATATTAATAGTGAAGATAATATTGAAAATAATGAGGTCAATGGCAATATTGAAGACAATATTGATAAAAGCGAAAGTATTTCAAATTTAAAAAATTTGAATGCTCAACCATCTACATCTTCATCTTCTTATAAGAGGCCCTCTATACCTACATTTGTACCAACTACGAAAAGAAAAAAAATTGCACAAGTGACGTCATTAGTAAATGAAATAAGGTCAATTAAGGACGATTTAAAAAATATACCAGAATACGAAAATAATATGCCAGACGAAAATGAACATGACATTTTTGGAAATTTCGTAGCAAGTCAACTCAAACACTTATCTCCTACACAGTGTATTATGGCTCGTGATCAAATCAATGCTTTATTATCTCGTTGTCGATTGCAAGATTTAAACTATGGGAACACAACTTTTTCATTTCAGACACCTTTTTACAACTCTTCAGACTCCAACATGACATCAAACAGTGTACCAACATCACAAACAGAGGGTTCATTTTTGTCAACAACTGAATATCAAGATAATTCTAACCAAGAAAATCAAATAAATGATATAAACTACGATGACTATAATGATAATCCTATAATGAGAGCATTTAAAGATGCATAGTTATTTTAATAATATGTATAATTAGTAATAATTAACAAACAATTTAATGAATAATATTTATAAATAAATTGAATAATGTAAAAAGTAAATGATAATAAAGACTTAATAAAAATATAAAGTAAATACAAACCTTAATGTTTTCTTTTAATGCCTTGTAAATTTCGACACATACTTCAGGTATAAATTTACATATTGAAGATCTTGAAACTCGGTAAAAGTGACTGAGTTTCCTGTAATTGATGCCAGACGAAAGAAAATCTAAAGTGATCTCCAACTTTACTTTTGCTGGTATAGCCTCTCTCATTATAGTATTCATACTTTGAATTTTTGGAGCCACACAACTTAATAGGATATCGAAAATATCTGGCGACATTCTCAGAATACTCTTGAACTCGCCTATATCTTCACAGCGAAGTTCTTCTAAAAGTAATGCAGATGATCCACGTTCTTTCCTTCTTAAAATCCACGGTCTTGTCCAAATACGTTTTTCTAGTAACACTTCTAAATCGTCTAATGCAATGTCACATAGTTGCCGAAGCAACTGTTTTATTCTTATTACATTATTCTTTTTTCGAATGCGGTTCATTTTTATTAATTTTCACTAAATTGAACTTCACAAATTTTAAAAAGTGCCCGGAATTCAGCCGAAGTGAAGGTCTCGAGTATACTAAACTAAAAAACTGTTATTAAATACAATTTTTTCTAGCATCGTATAAACTATTCTAGCTTTTTCCAAGCCAGGATAGTAAGCCAGGATAGGCGTTGGGAATAGCTAGCTTGCTATCCTAGCTTGAAAAACTAGCCTCGTGTATTCCGGGCGGAGAAATAATATGGAGATAGCTGGGTGTGTAGTGATGTAGTAGTTCAAACAGTAGTGGTCGGGGTTGCCGGGCAAATACTGTAGAACTACGTAATGCGTGTTGTGCGAAAAGTGTGTTTTTGAGTACAAATGTAAACATATGTGGGTGTGTGTACAATAAAACAATAATAATAAAATGGTAACACGGTTTTTGGTAATAAGTTGCTGTTGCTGTATAATACACAATAATAATGACACAAATATATAAAAAAATCACAGCAACACAAATGTATAAAATATAATATAATAAGTAAATCAAGGCCCTTATGGTTATAAACGTATATAATATATTGTGGCCCTTCTGGCCCAACAGAAAAAGGTTTAATAAAAAGCTCGGCCCTTATGACACGAACAAACCAAATAATAATAAATATGTATAGCCCTTATGGCACTATGAACAATAATATAATGATAGTAATAAATCAAGCCCTTATGGCTTTACAAGATAAATATAAAATTATAAATGTACAGCCCTTGTGGTTGACAAATAAATATATAATATTTTGGCCCTACTGGCCCAACAGAATAACGTATAATATATATATAAACTCACATATTTGTCGGTGAACCGGCTGGCCAGCTGCTATTTGTTGGTTGTGAAGAACACAATATGGGTTTGACAAAAAGTATTGTACGCTTTTTTATTACAATGCGTATGCATTTTATTGTAAGACATTCAAACTACAATGGAACTACAAAAAAAAAGGAAAAAACTAAGTGTAGTAGAAAGTTGTCAAAACTTTAATTAATGTATTATTTTTATATGTACCATACCTATGTATTTTATGTTTCATTTATTATTATTAATTAGACTCGTAGACCGTAGTCATTATAGAATATAGACTATTGTGAATATTAAACTTTTTTTTGTAGCAAACACCTTTTGAACTTTGATTATATATTTAGGTATACTTTAACATGACCAGGTAATGAAAAAATCATAATTTATATTTCATTCGAATTCAAAAAAATCAAAAAGAACGTTCATATAATATAAAGTAGGTACGCATAATATATAAAACTAATTTTAACCGAGATCCCCCTACTCCTGTATATATATTTTGGATCTGATCCAGACCATAAAGTATTTGTAAGGAATAATAAATCAAGTAAAAAAAACGTACATAATCCCTATTATACTACATGCTATTGTAAAACGTAGAACTGCCTATCGAACGACGCGCTCCTGGTGGCAGAATAACCTTGCGACTTTTGTCGGGTTATATTTAGTATACGGAGTTTGGTCTCCTTATCTCTAATCTTCATGCACCAGTCTTAATGGGGAATTGTAAATTCCGACCTCAAAAATATCTAGGTAAAAAAAGGTACATGTAAATTCCGCCCTCGAAAATAAATAGGTACAAAAATGGACTTGTAAATTCCACCCAGAAAAAAAAATATTTTTAAACTAAGCGTTCCGGAACTGTGCGACTCGACCGCACTGTTCGCGACGTTGTGTAGGTATTATAGTATTTGGATTATTTGGAAGTTATAAAATGTTCGAACGCGGAACATTGGTATCATAATTATTGGGTGTAAAACAAATCTAAAAATGTTATCAACTGCAGAATGGATTTACATGGATGGTACATTTGAATATTGTTCTAAATTTTTTTTGCAACTATTTACTACACATAGCTATTTTAATGGCCATTAGTTTTTTTGTTTATTAAAAGCAAAAACTCAAAATATATATTTGCAGTGTTTCAAATTAATAGTTAATCTTTGTATTGATGATAATTACTTATTAAGGTCCCTGAAATGTGTCATTTTTAAGGAGTTGTGTTTAGGCAATTATTTCGTTCCTGCGATTACTGATCGTCTTTGTGAGTGTAGTAAATGATCATTAGTGTGTGTATACTCCCCTACCATCACCCGCGACCCGCATCAATTTACAATATATTGTTATTTCTTATCTGATTTATGGTCGCAAGCACGCACATGCACAAGTCATTCAATGTCTAAATCAAAATATTCAAAACCAATTTATAGACGTGAAATAGCCGTCGCACTGACAAAAATTAAGGTACTTCTAGTGGTTCGATTTAAAAAATGTAAAGATGCTGATGTTGGTAAACAAGTTTACTTTGCATCGGTCGGAGCACTTTTTCAATTTTAGAAAAATTCTTGACGAGAATAAATATTTTACATTTTATAAATTTATAAATTTTTAGTATTGAATATCTTCAAAAATATCAAAAATATCAAAAATATGGTCCGACCGATGCAAAGTAGACTTGTTGACCAATTAAAACATCTTTACATTTTTTAAATCAAAAAACTAGAAGTACTTAAATTGTTGTCAGTCGCTAAGGTCGATTTGATGAAAAATGAATAGAGTTTGCAGTGGCCTTAAGCATATAACTATTCAATTTAAATTCTAATTTAATCACTCATATAAGTATTTTTACGATCCTTTAAAATCTTTGACGGAGTTTAAATGTTTGGAGCCTAATTGTTTTAGAGTTTTGACTACTTTTCACTCATATAAATATCATTTGACTCAACTTAACTTACAAACTTACCAGATATTTCAGCTCCTAATGATTATTTAAATTTTACTAGAGAGCACAAAACTTCAGTTTTACACAATACACATTGTTGTCAGCCACCTAATTTTAAATGATGACATTTCTTCTAGTCAGCACTGTGCAGAACCAATTACAAATAAATAATTTAATAATACATTATGCATTACAACTCAATATCGTTGACATCAAAACGGTGTGATTCCCTGGAAAATAATTCAAGTTTTGTTTGATGATATACAACAATTTAATCATTCATTTTTATCTATTTAAAAAAAAAAAATTCCTCGAAATTATAAGTTTTAATTATTTTGATATTATTTTATTTAAAGATTTGTGACTTATGTTTCTTTCCCTTGAAAACCATTTTTTTAATATAAACTTTGAACATTTGCGTTTTAAAGCTTTAGATGAAACGGGTATTCTTGTTAGACCTAGAATGGTAGATATTGGGTGTGAATTAAATGATAGAATGATGGGAGGTCAGGTTTTATTTGAGCCAAAAATGGTACAAATGTCTTTTATTCTACCGAGATTTGTTCTAAAAATAAATTTATAATATTGCAATTTGTTTTAAATAGTAATTAAATATATGAAAAAATTGGAATGTAGTTCAAAAAAGAATATTATTAATTTTGTTCAATCTCAACTGTGGCAAAGTAAATTAAAAGACAATTCCCAAAAATTTATTTTGCCATTATTTATATATTTTGATGATTTTGAAATTAATAATGCTTTAGAATCCCATGCAGCTAACAATAAGCTAGTGGCTGTATATGCAACGTTAGGGTATCTGCCTAAAGAATATTATTTCTCGTTAGAAAATAAATTTTTAGTATCATTATTTAAATCAAAAGATAGGCAAGAATAAGGGAACCATGCTGTTTTTTCAGAACTTATTTTTGAGCTCAAATTTTTAGGGACTACTGGAATTTATATTCTTTATGATGGTGAAATCTATAAAGTTTTTTCTCTCTGGGTTTGATTTTAGGTGACAATTTAGGTCTAAATTCGATGCTAGCATTTTCAGAAAGTTTTATAGCTAACTTTCCATCTAGATTTTGCAAGTCTAATAAAACTGAATGCCAACATCAGGTAGAAAAAAATCAATAACAGTCTAAGAAATGAACCATTGTTAATAAGTTTTTGGGTATTTACAGACGACTATTTTTTGATTGGTTTACATGACTTACTTATGGCTACACATGTTTTTTTGTTCTGAATTTAAAACCAAATGTTGTTTTTACCTTTTTGGGTATTGACACAGTATTTTCTAAATTGGTTTACTCAATTATCTAACAGATCCAACCTGTATACACATTGCACATGTTTGGTGAATAACCAATATCAGAACTAGAAAACATTTTACATCATTTTTATATTCGACGCTGTGCATATTATTCAATTGTTGTATCTACAAACATGGTCAAAATTATTAATATGTTAGCTTTATTTTTTATTTTAAATTTTATTGGTTGTATATGCCCTAGTAAGTATTTATATACCTTCCTTACTTTTCTTGATACACCACAGATCAGTGTTTGACAAGTTCCTTAAAAAATCGTTTTTAAGTAGACGACTATTTTTTAGATTGGTTTACATGATTGCTTATG